ACGCCGGGCGGGGCGCTGGGCCAGTTTATTTACCTGCTGACCTGGCAGGTTCGGCCGATCGCGGGCCCCCAGTGGCCGCGGTTCGCCGTCCCGGGCACATCCCTCACCTGCGCAGCTTCCTGCCGCCCCCACTGGCCCAGGACGGCGAACCGCGGCCACTGGGGGCCGCGATCGGCCAAACCTGCTGCGTCAGCAGGTAAATAAACTGGCCCGGCCCGCCAGGGTGCTTACCCTGGCGAGCCGCGTGCCAAACGTTGCCGACCCCTGCCCTACAGGGAACTCAGGGATCTATATAATACCTGAAACTACTTTTAACCTTTTTGTTTGTTTGTTTGTTGTTTAAATTGACTAGATTTCCAATTGTGGTGTCACTTTAACTGCAAAATTCAAAGATGTAAGAGAATTATAGTATAAATATTATTTGTTGCAAAAGGAAGAATGATGAGATGATTCACAAATAAAACATTAATTTGATACTTTTGAAAAACATTCCTGATGTTTATAAGTTTTCTGGCTGTAGACAGAATCCAGTGAAAATTATCTGAACCTATTTTGAATTCAACTAACTAGCGTGCTGCTTAGAGGTTTAAGGAGGCATCCCATGAATTCTGCCATTTATTTTCCACTGCTATGGGTTTACAGATAGAGTTAGTTACCCATTCTCTTGGATTAAAACAAAAGTTATTTAAAAAAACAAAAAGACTGCTTTTTTAACTGAAATATGTGATCTCCCCTGTTTTAGACTAACTCCAGTATGAAAGCCTCTTGTTAACATGACTGGCCTTGGGACTTCTGAGGTTACAGGCAGTAGAGTCCAGTGTCACTCCTGGGTCAGAAATAAGAGATTTTGAAAGACTGAATAGCTCAGGGAATTGGTAATAAGATATAGAGTCATTCAAATCCAGCCCAGGGAAATTATGACCAAAAGTCATTAACATCTGATGGCTATTTGGTGGCTTGCGTGAAATGAGTCAGTTTCTAAGTATTCATAGATTCTAGGACTGGAAGGGACCTCGAGAGGTCATCGAGTCCAGTCCCCTGCCCTCATGGCAGGACCAAATACTGTCTAGACCATCCCGGATAGACATTTATCTAACCTACTCTTAAATATCTCCAGAGATGGCGATTCCACAACCTCCCTAGGCAGTGTATTATAGACATCTTACAAAAATACCATTGCTGTTGCCATTAACTGGTACCTTAACTGGCAGACTCAACTCAGAGGCCAAGGATTGAACGTGCATATGATCATTTTTTCCTCAAGGAGAGTGATATCTCCAGGTCAGAATGGTGGCATAGTGGTGATGTATTGTGGAGAAAATTATGTTGCCACTACCATGTTGTTGAAGAATAGAAAGCTTGTCTACAGGGTTAAGGGGTGAGAGGTTTTAGAGTGAAATTGTCACCAACAGCAATAGCCGCCTCTAGTTTACTTGATGTATTAATTACTTTTGGCAAACTGAATCCCATTTGTATGTAATCTTTTTATCCTGGTGCCTCCTCTGGGCTGCTTGTTAATGAGTTCTGTGGAAACTTGAAAGTTTCAATAATTGTTGCTTTCCTTCCTCCTTTAAAATACTGGAAGTGGGACAGTGAGAAACCATACTTTAAAAACAAAAACTAAGACAGCAATCACATCTCAATATACATTCACAGCAATTCAGCCATAGTTACCTGGTAACCAGTGAAAGGCAGCTTAGAAAGGTAAGAAGAGCCAAACAAAAGGAAGAAACAACAGACATGTCAGCTGCTGGGACAGTGGTTGGAAAGCTGGTGCAATAATGCATTCTCCTGAGCTGGCTTCTCAAAATTCCTACTTCATTTCTAGTCTGCAGAAATGACTCTCAGTCCCTTATAAAAAAAAATTCAGGTATTAGCTTTAGAAGATGTTCATTTACATTTTGCTTGTTAAAAGCACACACACTTAAAAAATACCAAGCAATATCATAACCCCAGTATCCTGGCCAGATTCCAGTTTGGGTAATCAGTTCTGCATAGCTCAGATTGCCCTTTTCATATCATTTGGATATGCTGCTCTTTTTCACTTCCTGACATGAACTCTTATGTCTAGTGTTGTGAACTGATAATCAGTGCAGTCTCACTTCACCCTGTACATGATGGCATTTCATTCTCCCATATGTCGGGCTGTACAGATGATATAAAATAGAGCCTTGTGTTGCAAGCACTTAATGCACATGGGTAACTTTACTTGTATTAAGTGTTTGCAGAACTGCTACCTGTGGAAGGGTGGCATCACTGCTGGTGGGCTCCCCTTGTGGCTGCATGTAGCCGCTCTTTCTGCTGTAGCATGGTGTGCCTCCTGCCAATGTTCAGTCTGGTCCGGTGCGGGTCTCTTTTCTCATGACTTGGCCCTCCAGCCAGGTCACATTTTAGTTCCACCCCTTCCAGGGTAACAAAAAGTCCAGCAACTTTACATCAGGTTTTCAGCCCTTGACTCTGGTTCCCCTGGTCCTTACATCTTCTTGTCCCCAGGGCTTTCACGAGTCCTCATCCCCTTATACAAGGAGAAAGTTCATTCACTGGTGAGTGATAGGGGAACTTAGGCCCTCCCACTTCTCTGGGTGTCAGCCCAGGGACCCTATAGTGAAAAGACAAGATTTATTTATTCAAACCCATTCTGTGCTACCTTCCCTGAACATCTTCCTACCTCAACCTGTCAACAGGCCTTTCCTACAGCTTCTTCTTGGGCCCACTGTGTACCTGTATTTTTCTCAGACTCTCAGGGTATATCTACACTGCAATTAGATACCCATGGCTGGCCTGTACCAGCTGACTTGGGTTCGCAGGGCTTGGACGGTAGGTTTATTTAACAGCAGCCTGAGCCCAGAAGTCTATACTGCAGTTAAACAGCCCTGCTGCAACCCAAGCTCAAGTCAGCTGGCCCGGGAAGGAGCTGTAGGAAAAGCCTGTTGACAGGCTGAGGTAGCCACGGGTGTCTAATTGCAGTGTAGATATACCCTCAGAGGTTTCATACTTCATAACTTACAGGATTCTTCCAAACTGAAAGTACAAACTTAAACCACTTCCACCCTACCCAGGCTTGAATGTGAGTCCTTCTGGAGGCTTCCTAGATACTCTGCTTCTTTCTTCTATCAAACCATTCCCACAGTGCAGGAACTCCCAGCCTCATCTTTTCTGGGTCTATCACTAGCTGACCATTCTGTCTTTTTAAGGAAACTTGACTCCTTTCCAGGTGACCCTTCTAACCAACCTTCTTAACACCTGTTCAGGTGCCAACAGGTAGGTTAATTGAGTTCTGAAGCTCTCATTAACCCTCTTAGTGACAGTGTGGGATAGAGATCCTATCACAGTACCATAGTTTGTAAAATGCTTTGGGATTCTGTAGAAGAAAGGACTATATAAGTGTCAGTCATTGTCATCTTCCCTATTAAGAAATTTACAGTACATGGTTTTGTTAAATACTACAGTACAGCATAGTTATTTAATTGAAAATTTGCGCCTAAGAGACATTTAATCATTATGACTCTTATGTTTACTGGATCTAAATTAGTAGCTCAAACTTATTTCTCTTTTAGGCTGAAAATTGGCTCAAGTGGTCTTCAAAAATAGTCGAAAAAGCTGAAACCTTATATTCAGGATATGAACACAGGGTAACATCTAGTGAGACAAGGCGGTGTGTTCCTGGTACAAAGAGCAGTATAGTTTATAATTTATAAGAGCTGTATAATATTTCATAATAATTTAATAATGTTATTGTTGACCTAAATTCCCAAACTGTATGTATTTTTTAAAAAAGGTACAAAACCAGGTCTGATTTTTTTTAGTAAAAAATATCTGTATTAAGTTTAGCAGATATTTCTGTGCTTAAATTGTGTAATTAATGTTTTTACTGAAAAACTCAGCTGAAGACAGCAGACAAGTCAGGAAAGCATAGCTGATTATAGTTATTTGTATGTGAAAATCAGTCTCTCTCTCTTTAAATCACAGCTGATCCAGTCGATCAGAATTGTTGAAGTAGTTTACAGTACGTGCAAATGTATAGACTAAAAACCTGCTGGACATTAACTTACAGGAGAGTTTACATATTCTAAATAGGGAGCACATGATGGTGTGATCTAAAAGGTTTACTGGCCTGAATTTAGGATGACCAGATTACTTATGAGTGAGTTATGACGGTCATCCCAAATGACTGTTCATGAAACCTTTACATCACCCTACCTCATCATATTAAGGATTCTACATGTGCTACATGTTATAGGAAACTTTTTTCAAGTGTTTTAGGCAATTATAAAAATATCTATTGACACAGCTTTTTGTATCACTCCACCTGTATGTCTGCATGCCTTAATTGCCATGGACCAGATCCTGCATCCAGCAAAAGCTTCCATTGACTTCAGTGGGTATTGGATTAGGCCCCAAGTGACTAATTGTACATTGTACAGAGGGAGCCATAAAAGCCTCCTAACCCAGAATAGCATTTTTACATATTAAAAGCAGAAAAGTGAATAGGACACTGGGCATGGGGCCAGGTGTTTGGCCCCTTCTCCAGTAGTTTTGTCCAGCTGGCCAAGGGCCATTCCAGTTCCCTGGGTGCACTTCTGTTGCCCTGGCCGTGCCTCAGTCGGGGCTCAGAAGGGGTGGCATACGCCCAGCTAAGTTGGCCCTACACCACCTAGATGGTTCCCCATGCTGGCGTCAGCCCCAGAAAGCTGGTTAAGCCAGCTTGGAGGTTGTCTTTCTATCAGGGGGCAAAGCAAAGTAGCCCTAGCATGAGTGAAAATCTGACCTAATGATATCCCTTTCTTCTGGAATTTCTTCTTTCCTTTATCCTTCTTCAGCTTCTAGAATTAGTTGCCCTCTGCCTTTTTCAATATTAAATTTCACTTCAGACTGATTTTTCCTTCTCTTCTTTTTTCCCTTGTATCCTTTTCTTTCCCTACGTTCCTTACCTCTTCTCCTTGGGTTTTTTCTCCATGTTCTTCCATCCTTCCTCTTTCTTTCCTGCTCCCCCTTGATACTTGTAGACATTTACATGTCTCTTCATCTGCCCGCAACATTCTGCCACTGAAACACCGATAGTCACGCCCTGCCTCAGCCACTCTTACACACACACCTCTCAACACACGTGTACACCCACCCACCCAACCCACACAGACAGCCATGCACCCACCACTTGCCCTTTTGACTACACACAAACCCCTCCATGCACTCACAAGGTTTGTGTCTGCATTTGTGCGGTGGGGGTAGGGTGATGGGTATGAAATTATCAATACATTCATTTGTCTTGACGCTTAACAGTAGTGGTTAGGTTTCTGCACGTGTGCATGCTTTGTCCTTCCCCCTCCGTTCCATGGCTTCCTCTTACATTGCTTCCAGGTCAGTACTCCCCCGCTCCTCTCCTGGATTCTTATAGGCACCCACTTACCTACTTTCTGGCTCTCTTTGCGTTTCCTCCTTCTCCAAGCACTGGCTGTAGAGTGGAGCAGTTAAGGACCTGGAACAGGAAGCCATTCTGCCCACTTGCAGTGCCCTTCGGCAGGGTGGAAAAAGGAGGTGTAGCCTCAGCACCACCACTTCTTCCTCCCCTGCAGCCTGTGACTGCTGAATAGGTGGGAGGAGGAGCACTGACAGACGGACAGACAGGGCAGCGTTCAGGGAGGAAGAGCAGCACAGGAGAGGAAGAGGAGCAGCAGAACCTTTAAGCTGTTCTATCCTTTTAATATGAAAGCTTTCATCCTTGACAAAGATTCTCATAGACTTTAAGGCCAGAAGGGACCATCATGATCGTTTGGTCTGACCACCTTGCACATCACAGGCCACAGAACTTCACCCACCCATTCCTACAATAGACTCCATAACCTCTGGCTGAGTTGCTGAAGTCCTCAAATCATGATTTAAAGACTTCAAGTGACAGAGAATCCACTATTTACTCTAGTTCAAATCAATACGTGACCCATGGTCCATGTTGCACAGGAAGGTGAAACCCCCCCAGTGTCTCCGCCACACTGCCGTATTTATGGTTGGGATGGATTTCTCCCCCAGGTCAATAGGTTAGACACTGAGCACGTGGGCGAGACCCAGCAGCCAGACACCTGGGAAAGAATTCTCTGCAGTAACTCAGAACCCTCCCCTCTAGTGTCCCATCTCCAGGCCATTAGAGATATTTGCTAATAGCAAGCCATATGCAATTCTAGAAAACCTCATCATAACATCCCCTCCAGAAAACATATCAAGCTCAGTCTTGAAGCCAGTTAGTTTTTTTGCCCCCCCTGCTCCCCTTGGAAGGCTGTTCCAGATCTTCACTCCCCTGATTGTTAGAAATCTTAGTTTAATTTCAAGCCTAAACTTGTTGATGGCTAGTTTATATGCATTTGTTCTTGCGCCAGCATTGTCTAACTGTCGTTTTGAAACATGGCTAGCTCAAAGCACATTAATGAACTGCTAACATGCATCAGCAGGATGCACACAGACAGTTACATGCAGAAGGCTAGCACAGGTAGATTCACACCCCAATTAGCCATCATCTAATCATTCTTGTAGACAGGTTTTGAGTGATGGGTTTTTTAGACTAACCTTTCGTTGATAGATTTCTTACATAGGAAGAGTCAGGAGGGTTGGCTAAAGGTCTGTAAATTGATTTAGTGGGCGAAATCCTGGCCCCTTTGAATTCAGTAGTAATCCTTCCACCAAGTTCAATAGGGCCAAAATTTCACCCCAGATACTGAGATTCTGATACACTGTATGAAATCCTGGCCCTATTGAAAACCATGGGGCTTTGCTATCCGTTTGAGTGGGACGAGGATTTCACCGTTGGTGTCTAGATACTACAGTGGCATATTACAGATAGCTTAGATAAAATTTATTTTGTTCAGTGTATACAGGAATAAATACAAATTTTGTGTTTGCGTTGTTTGTATATTGGTAAATTAAAGTGGTAAATAAGGAAGAGGATGGGTCAGTGCTACAGAGTAACCTGGATCACTTTAAGCTGGAGACAAGCCAACAATATGTATTTTAATACAGCCATACCTTGGGAAGCAGTGACTCTGAAAAATATTTGGGGGTCATGGTGGATAGTCAGCTGAATGTGATCTCCCAGTGCAACGTTATGGCGAAAAGGTTAATGCGATCGTTGGATGCATAAACAGGGAGATCTCAAGTAGAACTACAGGTTATTTTACCTTTGTATTGGGCACTACTGGAATACTCTGTCCAGTGCTGGTGTCCACAATTCAAGAAGGATATTGAAAAATTGGTTAGAGTTCAGAGAAGAATGATTAAGGATTAGAAAACCTGTTTTACAGAGATAGACTCAAGGAACTCAGTCTATTAGCTTAATAAGGAGAAAGTTAAAGGGTGACTTGATCACAGTCTGTAAATACCTCCATGGAGAACAAATATTTGATAATGGGCTCTTTAATCTAGCAAACATATAATTAAAATTATTCACACATCGAAGGCCATAGAACTCCCCACAGATTTTGAATGGTGGGAGTAATTAACCATTGGAACAAGTAAGGGTTGTGGTGGATTCTCAATCAGTGACCATTTTAAAATCAAGATTGGATGTTTTTCTAAGAGAGATGCTCTCGGAATAATTTTGGGTGAATTCTATGGAACCGTGTTGTACAGCAGGTCACATTACGTGATCACAGTGGCCCCTTCTGGCCTTAGAATCTATTAATGTATAGCTATTATGGTGCATCATGGACAGGGTATGGTTATTCCATAGGCATTATTGAAAATCAAATGCAGAATATATTATTCTGGAAGTATTAGGCCTTTGATGTGCAAGTTATTTTAGTGTTAATAAAGAGGAACTAATAGCACTGGCAATGATCCAGGTATACTGCAGGCAGTTGCACTGCTGGCTGTCCAGCTCTTGCCAATGCAATCCTGACATACAGTATCGCTGTTTTCCTGAATCAGAATATGGGCGAATGGGCACTCTTAATGAGGCCACTATGCAACTGAGCTACAATATCAAGAAGTGATGAGAAAACCTGAAAACTGTCAGAGCTGTCATTTGACTGTAGCTAATTGATGACATTTTTTAAAATTGTCCTTCAGGACAAACTTACCTCAGCATATGAGAGAATGGTGTTGTGTTGTCATGACATTCATGAAGTGGTACTGAATTGTAGCAATACCTCACAACCAACACTGCTCCCTCTAAAAGACATTTTGAAACACTTTAGTGTCCTATAAACTTGTCTTACAGGCTATGAGACCCCTTGTCAAAATGAGGGTGATTGCTTTATTTTAAAATCAAGTTGGGAGACAAACACCAACTTGTGAAAGTTCAGATACTTATAAGAGATGTGTGAGAGTGATGAAGGAGGCAAGACAGTCTGGATTCAGGAATTCCCTCCATTAATGTATGGATCCGTGAAAGCTGGACCCTCCGCTGGTGCACCCCTTCATGTCCTCTATAGCACCCCCTGATAAAGCTGGCAATGGCCCGGCAATGGTCTGACTCTTCTTATGACTCAGCCCTATGGACAGATCATGCTTTAGTCTTCCCCTTTACAGGGTAACAGAAAGTACAACAAAGGAATTCAGTCTGATTTGGGGCCCAGGGACCCCACACGTTTCTCTCAGGTTTTCAATTGTCCAGATCCCCTTCTCATGAGTGGCCTCCCACCACCAACTCCACTGGCAGATGGTAGGGGTACCCAGGTCCACCCACTACACTGGGTTCAAGTCCAGGGACCCTATAATTAGAAGCCAAGGGCTTCTTCATCATATTTCTTTCTACTGCCTCCTTGGACTTCTTCCTCTTGTAGTCTCTTTTTCAGGCCTTCTCCCGACACCCTCTCTAGGGTCACCCTTTTCTCAGGGCAAGAACTCACAGGGCTCTAGCCTGGAATTCCCCAACAAAATCCTAAACCAGGGGTGGGAAAACTTTTTGGCCCGAGGGCCACATTGGGGTTGCAAAACTGTATGGAGGGCCGGGTAGGGAAGGCTGTGCCTCCCCAAACAGCCTGGTGCCCGCCTCCTATCCGCCCCCTCCCACGTCCCACTCCCTGACTGCCCCCCTTAGAACCTCTGACCTATCAACCCCCCCCGCTCCTTGTCCCTTAACCACCCCCTCCTGGGACCCCCTGCCCCTAACCACTCCCGGGACCCCATCCCCTATCCAACCCCCCCTGCTCCCAGTCCCCTGATTGCTCTGACCCCTATCCACACCCCTGCCCCTTGACAGGGTCCCTGGGATGCCACGCCTATCCAACCCTCCCTGTTCCCCTGACCTCTATCCACACCCCCGCCCCCTGACAGGCCCCCCCGGGACTCCCACACTTATCCAACCCCACCCCCATCCCCTAACCGCCCCCCAGAACCTCCGCCCCCATCCAACCGCCCCCTGCTTCCTGTCCCCTGACTGCCCCCCGGGACCGCCTGCCCCTTATCCAACCCCCTGGCCCCGGCCCCCTTACCATGCAGGTCAGAGCAGCATGTCTGGCTGCTGCGCTGTCCGGAGCCAAACACGCTGCCGCACTGCTCGGCGGGAGCGCACAACCCCGCCGCCCAGAGCGCTGCCTGTGTGGCAGCATGGCAGGGGGTACAGTGGGGGAGGGGCCGGGGGCTGGCCTCCCCGGCCGGGAGCTCAAGGGCTGGGCAGGACGGTCCCACGGGCCGTAGTTTGCCCACCTCTGTCCTAAACCAACAGAACAAACATAACCCACTTCTCCCCTCCTCAGACTTCATCCATCTCCATTCCTCAACTGAGCACCATCCAGGGCTTTCTCCTTGGAAGTCCAGGTCCTGCCCCATTATCAGGGGGCATCACCAGAGCTTGCTCCATCCCACTGGCTTCTCTGTATCTCTGCTGCCTCTTGTCAGACTTTGTTACTCAGGAGAGAATTCCAGAGCCAACTCTCCCCGTAAACTTCCTCTGTGACCCACCCAGTCTCTCCACTCTCTCACACCAAACAAGGCACTGAAGTATTTTTTCCAACTCTCCCTACAGCCTCTTTCTCATCTGTGCTTCCTTTCTTTATAGTCACCACCCGGTGCCTGGCCCATCCTGCAGGTGCAGTCAGATGGGTTAACTGGCTTTTCAGACCACATTAACCCTTTCAGAGCCAGGATTGAGGCTATATGCCATCACAAGATCCTATTGGATTACAGTAACAAGCTAATAATAAAAGCAGCAAAGAAAACACAGACAGCCCTCCCCAAAACTCGAAGTTTATTGCACCTGAATTACCAGAGTTCCCATCAGCATTTCAGAAGAGCAATTCCTAATGTGCCAACAGAAAAATTTAGCCGTACAGTTCCTTTTAAATTGTTTTCCTTTACTCTGCTGGATAGGGCAGCATTTTCCTTCTTATCATTCTTAATTCAACCAACAGAAACCTTATGAGTTCATCTCAGATTAATAGAGGTGACTGGTCTCTCTTTTAGCAAGCCAGTAACGAGTGTCTCCTCCCTATTCTAAGGGGAAGTGCCACATTAGACACCAGTATTTTCCTTTTTAAGCTTAGAAATCCAGCAAAGATTATGTTTTCCTGATACAGCAGTATGGCGTTTACTACTTTAGCTACTTGGGAGGAGAAAGAGCTTGAAAAAAGTTGAATAGTTTGAAGAAAAAACCCGCCACATATTACTCATTCATACAGGGGAGAGTAACCTTGATTCCTTGAGCTCAATTAAACTTAAAATGAATTAACAGGGGAAACCTCAGATTAATAAAACACTTTGGGTGGGATTCACAAAAGTACTTAAGCCCTACTACCCAGATTTAGGTGCCTAAGTATCAGGTTTAGGCACCTCAGTCCCAGTTCTGGCTCCACTGTGATCCAAAACTTCTGTCAAGCCCTGTAGATGCCTAAACTCGGTGCCTAAGTTTTTCAAAATAAAAGTTCCCTCAGCACCCATGTTTCTGCCTCTGAGCACATGCACTGTTGCCCTCCTGTAGGTATCTGGACACCTATCTCCTGCCTAAGCCTCAGAGTGATTCACAAACCAGGAGCAGACAGGCGTTTAGTCACCTGAGTTGCCTGTGGAGCCAAATCTTGTAGGGGCCTCTGAGCATACCTACCAGATCAGGTCCATTCAGAATTGATGTGGGGGAGGGTGCTCTCTCTCAACTTTTAGCCAAGTGGTTAGAGCACTTGTGTGGGAAGTGAGAGACCCAGGTTCAATTTCCTCCTCTTCCAGAGGAGGCTAAAAATTATAAGGTGGCAGCAGCAGCCGCACCACCACCTCCTCTGGTTGTTTTATGTGTAGTGAGACAGGAGCCTAACTGTCTTGCTCAAACACAGCTTAGGTGCCTGATTCCAGGCAGCAGGTTCCCATTTGTGGATCGCTAAGATGACATAGGCACCTCCCTGCAGCCTGGACTTCAGCAGCTCTCTGAGATCAGGGCAGGGCTGAGCACACACTCTTCTCATTGGCATCTCGTTGGCTAGCTTAGGCAGAGCCTCACCTAGTGTGCTGGCTTTGTGGATTGCATTTTAAGGTGCCTGTCTTTCCCCATTCATTGTCTAGGGAGCCTAAGCGTCTAATTTGGCCTTGTGGATTTCAGTGTTATTCCTGTGACTTCCTAGGCACTGTGACCCTCAGTGTTGCAATGCCTAAGTTCCTATGTAGATCCCAGCTTTGTCGCCTCTTTCGCTTAATATAGTAAGGTTTTTCACTCCCAGTTCTCCCTACAGGACATAATTAACTCTTCATCTCTCTAACTAACCCTTTCGTTTCTTTCTCCCTTACAGCTGAGGGGAAAAGGTTACTTCTGTCACCCATCTCAAACAAACAAACAACCCTCTTCTTCCCAGAAAACCTGAAACTGGATGCTATGGGGCATATGAGAAACTTTCTTAGCAACCTATATTTTGTGACTGAAAGGGAGCAATTCTTCTATTGCAGCTGTTATTTCTGGGAGGACTCCATTCCTTACACTTACTTTCCTCACCGTACGATGATAAAGTTCTGACGATTAATGGTGTTGCAAATCCAACTTGCAGTATGTAGGACTGCTACACTGAAATAAAGATGATCCCATGAAAAATTGAATGGGTGGCAACGCCCTTCATAAGACCTTATCGGCATCCCATATTTCTCCCTCACAATGCAATCTGTTACTCTTCGATTTTGTTCCTCAGATCTGATCTTCCTCTTATACTATCAGTTCATTTATAGATACATTGGTGACTCATTTTTTCTGCGTTACACCCACCTTTTGTGCTTCTTTTTCTTTCCCTTTCCTCTATTCTCTACAAGATTTATAGCAATGCTCCCTCCACCTCCAACCTCTTTGGCAGCCTCTGTGTGCATTAGCTTAGTAAACTGCTGTTTTCAAATCTTTCCTGCTTCAGTGCTCCCCTTGATCAGTGGTGCCCCACAATGCACTGTGCATATTTCACCCAGGGAAACTCGTAGGTGTCCAGAATTTTGAATATAACATCTGGTCTGGTCCCAGCAAAGATTTCCAGATCACACAAGAGTTTGTCACTGAGCATAGAGGTAAAGGGCCCTATGTGGAAATGGGGCCAGGAAGAGAAAAGGAAATTAAGGGGGAAAAGGGAAATTAAGGCAGCTTTATTAGGAATCACTGAACAGGTCTGAAGAGCAGCAAATTGCAGTCAGGGTGGGTGAATGAGGGAGGGAGGTAGAGGAGCTAAAGTACAAAAAAGCAGCTACGGATCCGTGATAATTAATGGAATTATGGAAGTTATCAGTTCAAGCCAGGATGTATTTTTTCCAAACCATTTCCCCAAGCTTGACTTTCAAACCAGCTGATGGATACAGGCAGAACTGTGATAAAACTTGAATCACTAGTTACTAGGATCTACCTTCCACAGCAGTTGAGTTAGTAGACATAAGTAAACAGGCAAACAAGGTTATTACTCTCTAGGAGCTGTCATCTGTAGGGAGAGAGAATGAGAAATCAGAGCAGTGAGGAGCAGAAAATTTCTTGGTGTTAATAACTGGAAATCTGCTATTTCAGTCTGTGGGTTAAGAGCTTAATATCCTCACTGATAATATGAATAGGTAAATCTTACCATCTGCCACTTTCCATTGTAGTAATAAGCAATCTTTTGTAAATCAGAGCACACTATTGTGGTATGAATGGTGTGGATCGTTTATTCATGCTTACATAAAATCCTTAAGTTTTAAGATTTTAAAAAATACAGTCAAGCTGTGGAACTCTTTGCCAGAATATGTTGTGAAGGCCAAGACTATAACAGGGTTCAAAAAAGAGCTAGATAAATTCATGGAGGATAGGTCCATAATGGCTATTAGCCAGGATGGGCAGGGATGGTGTCGCTAGCCTCTGTTTGCCAGAAGCTGGGAATGGGTAACAGAATATGGATCACTTGATGATGACCTGTTCTTTTCATTCCCTCTGAAGCACCCGGCATTGGCCACTGTCGGAAGACAGGAGACTGGGTTAGATGGACCATTGGTCTGACCCAGAATGGCCGTTCTTATGTTCTTATTAATCACCTACTTGTCATAATTAAAAAATAGAACTCCTGTTTACATTCCTTTCTCCAAGGAAATTTTTGGAGCTCAGTTCTAATTCCTTAACTATGTTTTTTCATTCATCTGGCACATGGTCTGTTTTTAATTGAAAGTTACTCATGAGTGATAGGCTTCTGACAATTGTTTGTTTATTTATTTATTTAAATTAAAAAGACACTATCTAGTGGAAGGAATGCATACCAATTATCTGGTCTTTGCAAATAAGTATAAGGAGAAATGCATTTTTTTAAACTTAAATGTTGGGACAACTCACATATTCCCATATTATTCTGAACATTGCACTAAACGAAACCTGAATACTGTATCCATAGCTTACCTGCAAGATCTCTTGTAGCTGCAGATGATGCAAATAATGATCAGAGTTTTAAAATGTTTTGGAACTTGTGCCTGTAATTCTTAAATGTGTAATAGTTCATACTGAACTGATATAAAAGGCCAAATTCTGCTCTCATGTACCCTAGTATGAATCAAGAAGTCCACTGACAAATCAAATT